AATAAGCATTATTATTCATGAAAATAGTTTTAGATTAGTAATACTAGCTAGTAACAGCTAATGAGCTCATCGTCATGCATCAACATTGATCAACCAACATTTTTCAACAAATAAACATTTGTGAGTAAATACGATAGCTTATTCCATAGACTTTTTACAATAATTAGGTTATCATCACATACGACATACAATTTTTATCTTATCTATTCACGAAGTCCATGACTAAATCTGTTAGTTTCAATATATTTCTTTGAGAAGATATGAATTATGTTTTCGAGAATTTACTTAATCATTCAATTCATATTTTTATCGGTCAGTATTTGTAATTTGGCTATGAAATGGCCCAATAACAAAGGAAATGTTTGTGATTTGAAGAAATGAATGGTCGATGACGTATGACTAGGGATCACAGCTATTCTACTGGTAAGTAATGCTTTCTATTACGAAATCCATCTATTAATTTATTTATAGAAATGAGAACGACAATTGATCAATTATATCCAGATATCTGGCAGCAAGTATTTGAATATTTTAATGCTCTCGAATTATGTTTTAGTCTCATGCACATAACAAAGCAGGCTGATGACGTGTTATTCAATATAAATCATCGCTTTTGTTCACGTGGACTTGTTCTTGATACGCATGTTCGAATTCTTCCAGAACAACTTTTGCTTCATCGAGTCATCTCTCTCGAACTGCATCAAAACAACCAGCTTGACAACATTCAACAATGTTTAGAACTTCGTTCGTTAAAACTTATCGGTCATTCAGAGTGGATCATTTCTATCCTCCGAAAAATTTCACAAGTTAATTCAAGCCTTGAGCAACTAACTTTAGTGGTACCAGGCATTGGTTTGTTGTACAACTTATTCGCATCTATTGCACCATTATTATCATTACGTCGACTAGAAATTTATGGAGATCAATTGGAAGAAAGAATAATAAATGGTACTTCATTCTTGAAACAAACAAAAATCGAATACTTTATTTTGCATTCATGCTCACCAATGAGCTGGAATGATTTATCATCCATGTTACCTGGTCTGTTCAATATTCGCTTCCTGGATATTACGCTGCTCCATCTCAGCAAAAATCCATCCTGTTCATTTATTTTTCCAAAGCTTCACTCTGTTTCTCTCATACTGCTTGAAGTCCCATTTGACTGCATCATTCAACTTGCAACAACAATGCCCTCTCTGTTAAAACTTAAATTAAATGGTCTCGTAGATAGTGAAGGATTTGTCGTCAATAATAAATGGCTTAGTCTATTAGAATCTTGTTCGTCTCTTATAAAAGTAATTGTAAGTCTTTCATTGGAACAAGGCACAAATTGCTATTACAATGAACTGATCCAAACAGGCTTACATGAGCTCAATCTAAATTTAAGATACATTGATGACGATTGCGAATATGACTTAGACAGAGACAATCAGTTTCGTTGGTGGAACTTGTCGGGAGTAATGGTCAAAAAAGGCGGGCATATGTTTGAAAAATATAGAACGCGATCCTAATTGAGTGCCGTTGTGTGGCTTCACAGTTTTTAGAAATTAATATACGTCTTGTTTGATGTATAATGTCAATAAATGTATGTAAAAACTTAATTTTTTTAAATAAAATTTGAATGTGTTGTCTTTTATAAACTTTTTTTAATTATTCATGTTTTTTGCGTTTTGCTTTGCTTATAAATACTTTCTTAAATAAGTTTGTTTCAGATCGATTTAAAATGAACGACAGTAGTATTAATAGAAACGAGATTGGTGTTACTGCTTCACACATATGTCAACATCAACCATGTATCTGAGAAAGATCTACTCGGACTAATCAATTCCTACAGTTGTTGAATCGCTTGACAATAGCATCAACAGCAACAGATTATGAGGAACAAATTTCTGCTACTGTAGCAACAATTTGTGCAGTATGTACACAGTTTAATTTTATGTTCTGTACATAATTCATTTAAAATCATTTTAGGATGAGATATTGGTATCACCGCTACGACTATTATGGCCAAACGAATTCGATGAACTCAAACACACTATAGATACTATAGCCCAGCAATACCTGAAACAAGCTAGCAAAAGTGTTCAGCATTTAATTCCTCTCAGCAGTCTCGGCGACGGCAACTGTTTGTTCAATTCGGTTGTGTCTCTTGTACCTGACTCTGGAGTATCTGCTGTTGAATTGAGAGGTTTGTTAATCTACTTTGTACTATAAAAACATATCGACGTTAAATTTATTAACCTTATCTATTTAATTTTAGTACGAACAATAATTGAGTTGGTCAAAAATAGAACGTACTATGATAATCAATTTAGCCATTTAGTTGGTCCTTTTAATGAAGCAATTCGAAGAACATGCAATAATTATAGTTTTTCCGAACTCTATGAAGTTGTCGCACTTGACAATGCATTACGGTGCGAGGTACAAAGCGTTTATCCATATATCGATTATCGTGTTGAAATGAAGATAATGAATGCAGTGTACACACCACTGGACACATCTGTTTCAAATAATGGAAGATTAATTATCTTTTGGACTAACAGTGAAGATGAAGTTACAACAAAATGTCGTCCTGGTAGTGGTGGTGTCTGGAGTCCGAATCACTTCGTGCCACTCATACGACCTTGTGAGACGCCAGAGGTAGACTATTCAAGTATATAAACCAAAAAGAGAAAAAATTCGAATTTTATTTCTGTTTAGAGCCCACGAAAGACAACGATTAAGAACAACAAAGTAGCATCTATCAGAAGTCCCGAATTTTCACCGCCTCCTAATGCTAGAAAGCATAGAACTTCATTTTCATTAATTGAGGAGTCATTATCAAATCTGGAAACTAACGATGCTCGACGAAAGCGTCAAGAGAGAAGTATCACAAATGAACAGCAGCGAGAAGAGCGTCTTACTGCTGATAGACTACGCAAACCTAATGCTCGAGAGAATCAAAGTGAAGATCAACGACAGCTGCGTCTTGCCACTGATCGGCTATCGAAACGTATCGCTAAAGAAAACGAAAGCGAAGATCAAAAACAAAAACGTCTTGCCGCCAATCGACTATCGAAAAGTACTGCTCGAGAGAATGAAAGTGAAAATGAGCTAAGGCTACGCCTCTCTAACCAACAGAAACGATCTGCTAGAAAAAAATTATGTAGAAGTGCATAAAGAAGTAGGCTTCTAACGAGCGGACCATGTCAGGGAGATGCAATAAGATCAGTGGGTCGACAGGGATCCAGAAAAAAATCAACTGAGGTTATTAATCTGCAACGTCAGCAGCAATTATTAGAAAAGGAACAGCAAGTTTTACTAGACAAATATATCTGGCCAACGGCGATTCCAACACAATTAAAGAACCACTGTTTGCAAGGCTTTTCTAATCATATGTCCATGTCAGTATTACGACAATCTACATGTATCGTTTGTAATATTCGAACATTTGCTAACATAATGAAAGTACATGCTCTACAAGATATTCTGAACGTGAACAAATTATCTTCTCCTACAGATCTCATAAACATTATTTCTAAAGCTCAGCAAGTAGCGCGAGGTTAGTATATTGATCGACTGATTACATTACTATATATTAGTCTATTTCAGAAGAGATGAATCAATGTTCAAATACTTTCTCTTTATCGAATGCAGTCTTCTACAAGAAAGGATACAACATAGCTGATAAAACTGGTAATATCTGTCAACAATGCTACAGCGCACTATCAAAAGATAAGATTCCAATGTTCTCTGTAGCGAACAAGATGTGGATTGGCGATGTGCCGCTTGAACTTCAACAATTGACAATTGCCGAGGAAAAACTGTAAGTTATTAATTACCATTAAAAAATTAAGTGTACTATTATGCGAATCTTTTTTTTAAAAGTATCTCTCTTTATCGACACAGCAGCTGTGTTATCAAGTTACAATCACCCTTTCATCATCATTCGACTGCTCAAGCTGCACTCAAGGGTAATGTAATCACATTCATGCACAACATGCCAAATATTGTGACAAGTCTACCATTGGATGTTGAAGATCTTTCTGACACACTCAAAATTGTTTTTATCGGTGCCCACTCACCAGATCGCGTTCAACTGCGTAAAATTTGTGGTGTT